CTGTTGGCATTTCAAGTACTTTTCTTCATTCTCATTTTAAACTCAATGTATTGAAGTATAATAATCAGAATTGATCAGGTGTATCGAAGCGCTAGTGCCAGAATCCATGGCTCCTTAGCCGCCACAAACATGGTTGTCTGTTTTCATGTCAAATGAACGTGAAATCCATTTGCCTAAGCCCTTGATTTTCCGAACTACGCTCCCTTGCAGGAATCAAGATCTCTTGAATTGGACTGGATGATATGTTCATCGTGGAACGCTGCTATACGCGCATCGGAGGTAAACAGCACTTTTCTCTTGTGCGTGCGCCGAAAATTTTTTTGATCAATAAGAGTGAAATAATGTTCTTTTACAGCAACAGATACGAATAACCGGGGTAAGTGACGTAGCAATAATATTTATAGTCCCACACAGTATATTCCGCACAATATCTCAGCAAACATTAAATTTGTAGTTTCCATGTGAAATGTCCGGATCGATTCCCCGTGGACCGCCACCTTGTCGTGCTTTCCGTTCGCGACTGCAACTATTGCATTTTGAAGAGTACGTCGATGCGATCTAGGAGCTAAGTTTTCAATTGAACTATGGTCGCTGTGCAGTGGTTTGTGCCAGCTTAGGGGCGGAACAGTTTTTGAAATGAGGGTGCCCTTCCAGGCCAAGGAGTATCAGCCATGTGCTGTTCTTTTTTCTGCATGCGCCACATTTCTTCAGGCTCATCCCCAGCGTGACCCCGAACGGCTCAGAAGACGAAAGGTTGGTGATGATTATCTCGTATCTGTCTCCTCAATATTCAATGCAATCACCTGTGCTGCGATCATTTCAGAGCTCCCTCCGCACACTCAGAAACATTTTGATCCCCTCAATATAAACACGATGATCACGGCGTTCGAGGAAATTCTCCATGCTACAAGAATATGGTGATTTCTGTATCCTAAAGTCAATGACATGCCTGCGACTCTTTTACGCAAGGTAGCCCATCTTATGGCCGCGGCGGCGGCACTGGAGGTCCACGCCTCTCTTCCCACCCATGGCGCAAGCATCGGGCTGGCGGAGAAAATGCTGCATGAAGGCTCCCTTCTGGCGCAAGAACTAAAAGCAATGACTTCTCAGGACGGGCGGAAGTCTTGCGATGGAGATACGGAGGAAAACAGCTGCGATGCGCTCATATCGTTTCTGGTAATATGGAGATCGTATGCCCACGTCACCACTGGTGGAACATTTTTGGTGCCTTAACAACATGGAACAGCGGTAATAGAATTTGATGAGTCATGGGCTTGGAGATCTGCAGGTGGCCCTAATAATGTATTTTCCATTTTCATATAGTCCTGCCAACTACTTTTGCACTTTGTAAACCGCTCAGATTGCTTCACACAGAGGACAAATTGCGACAGTTTCTTGTAGTGCCCTGCCGTAAGCAATAAATTGCAGCACAATGCCTGTAGAGATGACCATATCGTTAGAACTCTCCCAACCCATTCCTTTTGCTAGCGCTCCCTTTGAAATATTTGCATGACGACCAGGCACTGAATGGATTTGAGCCGCAATAGTGTGATGCCCAGCCAGAAGTTTGCGTCACGCTTCATTCAGATCCCTTGTCCGCCAAATGCGAATAAAGGCACAAGCAAATCCAGAGCAAATCCGGCAGGTTCAGGTTCTGAATTTTCTCAATGCTCAGGAATTCGAGGTTGCCACTAGGCTGAAAGAGACGGAGAGACAGCTTCAGCTCATCGAGAGATGCAAAATGCTGCAGTCGGTGACGGCAGACCAGCTATTGAGGATGGCTCAAGCCTGCAGAGGTGAGATGGGAACTTGTAGAAATTGCGGGGCAGAAGCATTCAGAAGCATCGCCAGAACCAGTAACAAGTACCAGTATTCAGCACCGGACAACCGCACACGAGCTGTTCGCTCGTGATGGGCACTCATCTCTGGACCCTTTAGCGTCGAGAAAAGGAATCACTACAGCGACATTCCCTTCGAAGCGACGTATAGCCAACAATTATGCTTCCAAGTATTAAAGCATAGGAAGCAACAGGGGTGTGCGGAACCGGTGTCGCAATGGGGTACAGGAACACTGCGAAAAGTGTTGTAGCTGCAGAGAAAATAGAGAGCAGTGGTTCCTAAAAGGACTCCAATAGATGAAAGAACTAGGAGCAACTATCTGTCGGCACCTACTAAGATTAGTGGCCTGTAGATTCAACGAAAGTACGGCGAGAGTCCCCATTCAAACCGCTTTAGTTTGCTTTAATAACACATATTGTCCTGCCTGCGTTGCATGCACGGCGTATGTGTCGCATTGGCTGGATGGAATCCCCTGTTCAACGTTACAGGCTGTCGAGTTTGGTCTTTGAGCATGTGCCCCCGTGGATTCCATAGGGGCAGCGTGACGAGGTAGTGGAGCGATTGCATCCAATTCCGCCCGCTACATCCTATGGCTGGTCGCACCCGTCCAGCGCTGCCATTCTTGCAACACGGTCCCCAAAGTGCATAGCTCCCAGAAGGTTCAGTTGGTCCCCTCCAAAGCCGAAGACGATAGAAAAAATTGAGGGCGATATTTTGTTGTCCCGACGTGGCGAGGAATCATGCGCTACAATTCAGCGCTGAAATTTCCCAATAACGAAGTTTGTAATGAATACCAATGTGTTTCACTGTGGATATGGGATCTTCCATGGAATTGCCACAGGAACGAATGTGGCGTATCTTCGTTGCGTGGTCGTACTCTTGTTGGCAACTTTTAACCGAAACACCCTAGGATCTTTCAGGATGCGATTTGTTGCATGTTCATATGACTGCCTTTCTGAACACGTAGTCAAAGTAACGTCGTATGCTGTTTTTGTCTTCTGTGGCCACTTGCTTCAATTTTACGCTGTTGGGAAGAATGGCTAACGCATTTTCCAGGGAGCGAATTGTATAAAATGGATGTCGGAGAACTTCTAGATTCGCTTCAGGTGATTTGTGCCGTGCTAACATTTGGACACGTGCAGGCAACCGCGAGAGCACGGATGCCGCAGTGGCCGCGTATCACGCCTGTCTGGAAAGGCTCTTGAGTCAAGCTGCACCCAACTACGACACTGTCTCCATGGCAAGTCCCTGATGTGACTGGCGAACTGTGCATTTGATGCAAATGCGAACTAACCAATGCAGGCAAAGACATCCTGGAATGTGTTATCCGTGACATCGGAGGGAACGCAATATGTTGGAAATACTGCTTGACAGTACTCCTGGGGCTCAGCGGGTGCTAGCATGTCAGTACAAATAAGATATGCGTGCACACGCCCATTTCATAATTAACGCAGGTGCGAGGCCTCAATTCATTTCGTCGACCTATCGTCGACGCGCATGTTTTTGAGTTTGAAGAGCACGAGGGTTGGAGCAATTGCCTGCGTGGCAACCAACGGTGACCTTCTCGCAGCCGCCCCCCCACCCCCCACTCCACCAAGATAGCATTTGGATGTATTCCTCCATACAATAAATGGCCTTTCAGCATTGCAGGCAACAACATATGTAATGCTACAGAGCTATATAGCTATATAGCTCCCCAGGGTGAGCTTGGATACACAATCTCTTGGTTCGAGTCCCTATGCAAGGCAGATCAGAGGCGCAAAATGTGCAGAAATTGTGCCAAGACCCAAAATGGGCCGCTGCGAGGACCAGGGCCCTATTGAAGGAGTGTTACTGCGGAACATTGGCTATATTGGCACAAAAATTTTCACCGTACTGCCATTCAATGCTTAGCCATTTCAAGGGCATCAAAATGAAAAATTGCATAATATTAGCTTAGCGTCTGTTCAGTCCTTACATTGTGAAATTTACACATTTCTATACTCATTACTCAAAACAATGTCTTCCCTTAGCACATGAGCAGAGGACTACTTCCCAAAAGTCCATCGTGTTTTATGTACGTTATGCTGTTGTGCTTATTGATATGCATATGGGAAAGTGTAGGAATATAAAATACTCCATTCCGGTTTTCCGGGCATTTGGAGCACGAGGGAGGCCAACCGCCCGACGCATTTCCGGCGCCCCTCATCCAGCTGAACTCCCTGGATGTCGAGAAGTTGAGAATGTACTCCGAGGCCCGCCAGCTGCTCGTGGGCCTTCCAAAAGACGCCTACCCCAAGCGAGAGTTGCTCTGGCTGGCGTCCACGTGCTGGAATCGGGGCTGCCATCACGCCAAATTCTGCCGCCTGGGGCTGTCCCTGCAGTACTTGGGACTCGGGCTCGAGCTGGCGACGATGTGTAACGATCTGGACAGCCAACGCAGGGAAATGGAGGCAGAGGTGAGGCGAATGGGAGAGCGGCTGCTGAGGCAACAGAGAAGGGGAGGCAGGTGGTATGCAGGGGGAGCGGTAGCTCAAAAGCGGTGATGGTTAGGGCATCAGGTGTGGACCAGGTTCTGCCCATAGAAGGGAAGCGAATGGGCATCACAAACTGTGGAGGCCGACGGAATTATGCATTGAATTGTTCAATAAAGCCAAAGTGCAGTTCTGGTACAGTTATTGAGTTGGAAAGGCTTTCAGTGTCCGTGAACCACCGGACGCACGTTGGAGCGTCCATTGTTCACAATACAGAGAATACAGATAAATACAGAGAACAAGGCGAACCTTGGCCTCCACCAGGCCTTCAGACACGTGCTTGTCTACACGTTACGTGAACACTGTAGGTGCGGAGCGTGCGCGCTTTTCATAGTCACATTGCGTGCAGCAGGCAGCCGCAGGGACCGCGGCGAATGCAGGCGTCGCATGGGATAGTTTTGTACCACCAGCACACATGGGGTTGGCATGGTGACCTGATTGGAGCCCGGCACCATGTCGATTCACGGAACTCTCAACGGCAATCCATCACGAAATTTCTGCAATGGCCTCAAGGCACGCTTCTCGCAGAGCAGTCGTTCACGTTCCAAAAAGCGGACCTTAACAAACTGCGTACTCCGTCCCAAACAATCCCACAAAACACCACTTCTCTTCACAAACGCAAAATACTCCTCGCCGCGGCCTCCGGAATCAGGACCCCGGCGCCGCTGGTTCCTTGGGTCCCAGGACACCATCCCTGATCACCGCTGACAGGGCGCCGGTGAGGTGCCCGTTGCCCGCCAGCACCCGCCGCGCCATGACGTCGTACGGGCCCCCCGCCGGGTCCACCACCACCCCGCCCGCCTCCTGCACGATCAGCGCGCCCGCCGCCACGTCCCAGCACCCGCCGAAGCCGATCTCGTAAAACGCGTCCAGCCGGCCGCACGCCACATTGCACAGGCCGATGGCGCACGACCCCCCACAGCGCAGCGATCGCGTGATCTTGGACAGGTCGCGTACGCGGCCGAACACTGCCCCGAGCGTGGCGTCGTCCTTTTGGACGCCCAGCTCCGTGCCCAGGAGGGCCGACCCCGGGTCGGATGTGTCCGACGGGCGGATCGGCTCGCCGTTGAGGAAGGCCCCCCCGCCCGCCGTGGCCGTGAACATCTCCTCCAGCACCGGGTTGTACACCACGCCCACCACTGCGGCCCTGTTCACCACCAGCGCGATGCTGACCGCCACGAACGGGTAGCCGTGCACGAAGTTGGTGGTGCCGTCCAGGGGGTCCACCATCCACGTGGGCGCGTCGGTCAGGTGCGCCGCCGCGTCCGCGCTGGCCTCCTCGCCGATGAACTGGTGGTCGGGGAAGGAGGCGCGGATGGCGTCCAGGACCAGGGCCTCGCAGCGGCGGTCGGTGTCTGTCACCAGGTCGGCCGGACCCTTGTGCTCCACGCGCTTGGGGCGATGGAAGGCCGCCGCGATGACGGCACCCGCGGACCGGGCGGCCTCCACGGCGACCTGCAGCTGGCGCGCCAGCGCGGGGGAGCCCGCCATGGCGCCGTGTGGTGTGGCGGGCGCGCCTGCCGCGGTCGGCAAAGCGCGTGGGGCCGTCTGGTGTGGCAAAAAGCGGGGCGACGTGTGCGGTTGACCGTGAATATGCGCCAGTATATTAGAGCCGTCTGTTGCCTTCGTCGAATGCTGGGAACCAGGATTCCCGCATTTTGTTAATTGCCTTTCGGCCTCGGCAGGGCTGGGGCTGGGCGACGCGTGTGGCAAGACGGGTTTGTGCGTGGCCTGGACGTGGCCTCGCGCCGCCGCACTTGCGGCGCAGCGCCCCCAGTCTTGGGTCCGCCGGATAGGAGGTCTGACCCGGCCACCGTTCACCGCGTGCTGCACGAGAAAATCCACCTTCTCCGGACAGTGCCCGCCGACGATTCCTTTGCTCTGGGAACATCGCACTCAGCAGGTCAGCAAATCTTCTCTCAGCGCACAACGATCAGCCTGGGGCAGGGCGCGGCCATCATGTTCCCGACTTGCGGCCAGCCGGTGTCTCGCGTGTGCGCCGGCAGCGCATTCGGCCCTCTGGCGGACTTGAGGCGCGCCCTGCCCATCGGAACGGCATTCTGCAGGAGCGAGGCTGCCCATTGCGCATCTTCCCTTGCAGCCCACGGCGGAACGCCCCCTCTGGAGGCGCTTAACTGTAGAGAGTGGGCGGGCCTGGGCCCTTGGCGAAACGGGGAGGTGGATCAGCGCCGGGGTTGGGGGGCCAAGGGCCCGACGGCGGATGTCGTCGCGCCAGGCGCCGCTGAGTTCGAGGCCGAGTGGAGGCAGCAGCTGCCGGGGTCCCTGGCCGAATGCGGGCGGCTGGTGCTGGACACTGCGGATCCGATGCGCAAGGCCGCCCTGACGCACCGCATCTGGGAGGCATGGAATGAGGGAAAGGTCAAGCACGTAGGTACAAAAGGGCCCAGGAGGACGCGCACACCTGTTTTTCCGGCGATCACAGGCTGCAGCGGCTGCAATCGCAGGTTCAGGATTGGGCGCGCTGAAGTTGCGGTTGTTGACGCGTGTCGATTCTGGCGCCCCGGCCAGGTGCAAATGCAGACGGCAGTTTTCAATGCGAGTTGGGCTGTCCTGGGGCAGCATTTTGCTGGTGATTCAAGGGACAACATAAACTAGAGGAGTTGGGTTGACTTTTTGCTCAATTTCTGTAAACTTTATTGTTCCGTCTCAGCACACATGCGTGTCGTACGATGGGCGGGTGGTGCTCATTGTATGTGGCATGTTTCTCTTTCATGTTGCAATCGATCCTCCGTCCCTGATGAGCGCAAAGACCTAATCAAGTGCCCATCTATCGACAGAACACACAACATATCTAAATTGTTGTGCGCAAAGCTTGATCAATATGCATTGTGGCACCCACAGATGAGCATATGACAATTGGCTGGAGTGGTAAACAACTGGAACCGAACCTCATGCCACCCTGGGTGTTCAGGAAAGACACCACGACCCTCTTATGCTGTTCTGGGACATCGGCCCTTTGCGCCAAGAGTGCGCAATGTACGTTTTTGCTGTGTGTGTCACTCTACATATGTCTTCTGCCTATACGGCATATGGGCGCACCGTCCTTGCAGTGCACAGTGCATACTTCACCCATGCGCAAACAAGGCATCTGTATTTTTGAGTGGTTTCCAGTGTGTGTGCGCAGAACGTAAAGCATAATGATGATGAAGAAGGATGATGGGCAAATGTTGGCCATGACTCCCTGAGTGCAGTGCTCATTCATTATTTTATTCTTCTGACCCCTGGGTTTTGGATTCTGTAGGCATTGTGGAACCGCCCATGGCGCCAGCAAGGCCTCCCCGACCACGGTTGGTGAGGCCCAAGGAGATCCCCCGTATATCGGATTCCCCACTCCCGAAGCCAATGTACCTTCTACACAACCTTGCCCACATTGAGCTGAATGCCATCGACCTTGCCTGGGATACAGTTGTGCGCTTCTCCCACATGCGCCTGCAGAATGACTTCTATGGTGACTTTGCAAGAGTTGCAGACGATGAGAGCAGGCACTTCGGATGGTGTCTCCAACGAATGGCTGAGTGTGGGCACGGCTATGGGGACATGGATGCACACGACATGCTTTGGGACTCGGCGCTCAAGTCGAAGTCGGACTTGTGCGCCAGGCTGGCGATCATTCCCATGTCGCAGGAGGCAAGGGGTTTGGATGCTGGCCCAAGGCTAGTCCGCAAATTGACAGGTGGGGCACAGCGAAAATGCTGAGTGAATCTTCAAGACGAAGCAGCAGACGAGCATCTGAAATCGTGTTCTCTCAGTGTATCCACACTAATTGCTTGTTGGCCTCATACTGGGTTCAAGGGTATGCACTATGCCTATCTTCTGACCACGCTTTTTGTCTCCAAGGTGAAGGCAGGTTGGACACAACCTTATGAGTAGCCCAATACCACAGTAGTAAAGCTTCTTTGTGCTCAATCTGAGTGCAAGCAAACACTTCCTGCCTGAGGGCGCGACTTGGTTTTTGCATTTGGCTGCTGGGCTCACAAGTGGACCGTCTGATGCGTACAATGCACATCAACAAAGGACTTTAATTGACTGTTGCAGTTGCTTTTGCTGTGGTTTTGTACTGCATGGACTGGAAGCAATCAGGTTGTCCACATGCGCTTGCTGTACTGGCCTCATCCGATCACCCGTTCTTCACCCTTTGATCAGGCCTGTGCGATGTGCGGTCATCCAAGATCGTGGCCCGCATCGCACAAGAGGAGAAGGCGCATGTGGCAGTGGGCGTGGCATGGTTCACAAGGGTGTGCGATGCGCTTGGTGAGGACCCGGGCTGCGTCTTCCGGGCAGAGTTAGCTGCCCTTTGTCCGGACCTGCTCAAAGGGCCCTTCAATCACGAGGCCCGGGAGGAGGTGGGCCTGCAACGGGGATGGTATGATCGAGGCAGTTGGGTGGACGGAAGTGATGGTGGTGGTGGGTTGGACGAGGATGCATTGTGCACATTGCGCCAGCGTCTCGGGCAAATCCTGGAAGTCGAAATGCCACATGCATGCTCTTGACCGATGTACTCAGAGGCCGACATTCCACTGAAGAATGTAGCGATGGGTGCCAACGAGTGACCGGAGTGCATGGAGCTCTGCAATCAACCTACTCGTGGCCAATAATGTTCTGAGAGTTATTGTTTGTGGTTGCGGGCTGGCCATCCCTCTCTGAGTGAATTTGTGAACTGGGCCCCTGCGTCCTCACTGATGGGCATCTGATGTGGTGGTGGTGGAGGGACATGTGATGGCTCTCCTGTGCACAAGAGCGGAATTGATGCAACTGCAGCCACCACTGCAGATGCACCACAGTACCTGCAAAGGCCCCTCCTTGCATGAACCGTTACTTCAAGGTTGTTCTTTCTTGTGGCTCGTGTACATTGGCTGGCAGCAGATGGGAACAAACGAGGAGTGGGCCACAAGATGCCTGCTGAATGCTCATCATCTTTCAATGCAAGGACCACACAAAAGTCCAGCAGGACCAAGGAAACACAGAGGCCTCATTCGATGCGAATAATCGCCAAACAAGGTGCCCAAGAAGATGTCCTACACAGCCAATAACGTATGAACATTCCTCTCTCCCCTCAGGTGCAAGCATAAAATGCTGATGTCCATTGCACAGTCACAGCTTGTGGATCGTGTTTCTTTCATTGCACAGCTGCAAATGCAGCACAATCGCTCCAACAGATTGTGAATACACCACCACGATCACCCCAACCAATAATCCATCCTCTAATGTATGATACAGACACCAGCCCATGGGCTGCAAATTCTCAATTCCTCACAATTGGCCCCATTACAAATCTTAAAAAATGACTACCCCTTAAATACAGGTAAGCACCGAGAGCCGCCAAACACCGAGGTGCATCTACACATCAGGCGAAACTATACAACTGCTCCTGTCCATTGAAGTCCATGGCAATACCTGTCTTCTTCCTTTCTAAGAAGGCCACCAGGGCAGCAGTGGCACGAGGTGGCCAGCGCCCCTGCACCCTCTCCACCGCACAATCGCCATTGTACAGGACGGCACCAAGCTGGTTGCCATTCCCCTGTAGCTCCTCCCATTGCTCAACAGCAGCCTTCTCAGACCCGTGGCACCACAGGAAGGCAGCAAGGGCACAGCGCACTTCCAGGTTAAGAGGATCGAGATTTTTGACGTAGCGGGCCTCTTTCAGTGCAGTTGCCTCTCGGCCAACCTGCCGCACAGGAATCGAAAGGACACTCAGCTGTCGTGATGTGACCACGGACCTGGCAGTGGAGTAGTGGCCGAGCCCCACTGTAATCCATCTCCAACGAACGGTATTCATGAGGTTGATGATAGGAGGTGCTGAACGCCCGAATCGCCCTCAGAATTAATCAATCAAAAGAGCATGGCATCGGACTCTCATTTTTAACACTTGTCCACCAGGGTCGAAGGCTATGGGTGGGGAACGTGCACTTGGTCCTCGTTCTCTACAGACACCAGCGGCATTTTGCCGCTCACGCCCTAGACTTTCTGGATGCCCAGTGGCCACTCCGGCAGAGTGGACATTGAGAGGAGAATGCTCGGCGCCTTCCCACGCAGACTGCCTAACTGGGGAAGCCCCGGCGACATACGCACAGGCTGCGCAGGTGCCGCACCCACAGGCAACGACTGTGACGCTGACACTCGGTTTGCGGACGGGTTCCCGCATGCAGAGAAACGCGCCCGCAACAAAGTCACCGGCCCAGTGAACTGTGCAGACAGCAACTGCCACCTAGCCCCATTGCAGCCCCACAGTTTCCTCGCGTTCAAATCTCCCATTTTCTCGCCAAGGATCGCGCAGCAGACCCCCAAGGGTCCAAGGCAGCTCCCCGAGGCACCGCCGCCCCACCAGTCCAGAGGAGCCCACGGGCCGCCCAAGGCCGCCGCCCCCCTGCGGCAACGCGCCGTCCCGACAGTGAATCGTCACCTGGAAAAAGGCCAGCGCCAGGTTGCTGTGGGCAACGCTCTTGATGGTGGGGTCGTTGGTCGCCCGGGTCAGGTCCTCGATCGCGCCGTCCCAGTCCCCCATTGCCCCCTTCGCCGTGGCCCTCTTGTTGAGGATGGTGCCATCCAGCGGGCCGTCGTCAGCCAGCGCCAGCGCCACGTCGAAATCCCTCTTGGCGTCCTCCCACTGGCCGAACTGCAGCCTGCAGGTGCCCCGATTCGCCCACTGGTCCGCGGACATGGGGTCAGCCTCGATCGCGTGCGTCCAGCCCGAGTCCGCCACTTCCGGGATGCCGCTGTCGGTGAACGCCGCCGACACGGCCTCCTTCACGCGCCCGTCGGCCGCCTTGTCTTGCGGCAGCGCTAGGGCTTGATCGGAGCCAAACAGAGCGGAACCCAGGACGGCGGATGCCATGCCCAGGGCGGCGCTGCGGCGGGACAGCTCCAAGGGGCCGCTCTCGCGTTGAAGGGAAGAGACACAGCTAGGGGAGCGCAAGCTGCGAGAGGACAGCTCGTCGCTCGAGGGACACCGAGGCATGGTGCCCACGCTCAGGCCCCGGGGCGCGGCCAACTCCTCGCTGGACACGCAGCGCGCCATTTTGGCCATGCTGCCGGGCGAGCCGATCGGCGGGGCGATCGGGCGCTCGGTTCTGCTCGCTGCCCGTTGGCTTCGCCGGTTTGGCTGCCGCGAGGGAAGGTGGGGGGGCTGCGGGCCCGGGCTGGGGCCCTGAGGGCACGCGAAAACGGGACGCGTGCTCTGGGTGCTGGTTTTCGCGCTGCTTGGCCGCTTGTTGCCGGATGCCCGATCTGAAGTGGCCCCAAAGGAGGGGTCACAGCCAGGCCCGCCGCGGGTTCACGTGGCCCGCGCTGGCGCGTGGGATGCGTATCCCTCGACGGGATTACGTACTCTCCGGATGGATGGAGACAGCCAGCAGCTCGAAATATCTGGGCCGCGCAGAAGCGACCCGCCAGCCAGCCGCACCTGTCCGTCCAAGTGGTGTGATGGGTGTCGCTCATGGAGTGACCAGCAGGGGCCAAGTGAGCCTTTCCTGTAAAACCTTGTTTGCCACGTCCCACAACCACCGCGGATTTTCTTGTTGGAACACTGCATTCGGTGTGCCGTCTTCCGCAGATGGGGATTGCTCGACCTGAGGCACACTGACCAGCATTCTGCAACTCACTTGCACCTGTGGTAGTCGATGGCCTCCAGCACATCATTGTCGATGATCTCGCTGTCAGGATGGCCCGAGTGTGCTGCCAGGGCAATCAAATTAAAATAGGCGGTTCCTGTGCGCCTTGGGAGTTCGGGAAACTCCCAATGCACCAATCCCAGAATGTCAAAGAAAGCACAGCTGCAAAAAATTGATGAATGGAAATCTGTAGGAACTCTTTAGGTCAAATCTGTAGGTCATATCTTTTGGCTGTTTAGGTGCGCCTGGAGTTTGCGCCAGACTGGGCGTCACCTGCTCATGCGCTGCCCTTCGAGATGTACTCGATGTCCAAACCCATTTCGTTTATCCATCTGCTCTGAGTGAATTGTCTTGATTCGCCTAGTGGCCAGGGCAGTGCGTCACCTACTAAAGCATGCTGCACTTAAAGGCAGTGGTTATTCAACAACTGATACTCCGTGGAAGTGTTGAAGTTGATTCAGAGTCTGCCCTTACCCGGGCGGTTGAGATAAGGCCACCAATGCCTTGTCAGTTCCGCATTGACAACTCCCTTCTGGGCGCCTCCCTTTCACCAAACAAGAATGAAGCCCTATTCGCATTCTTCCATCGCCCAAATTATGCTGAACAGTGGGTGCATTAACAACGATGTCCGGAATCAGATTGTGCGTCTGGTGGCTGGGTGAGTGACCATACGAAGCAAGTAAGGAATTGATGGTAACAACTACTGGGGGAAGGGGAAAAAAGCACAAACGCTCGTTCGCAAATACTTACATAACTGGTCCGAAACAAGAGGCAACGGATATTATTTCCATGACTTTGCCTGCGCCCCACAAGCCATCGGTGCGCCCCGCCGCCCAATGAATTGTCATACTACCTCAAGTGCAGTCTCTATCCTACAATCCAAAGAACAATGTAGACGCAATTCTCTAACTGCTCCTTTGAGCTATATGGCAATCTAACACCATTGGCACTCCTGCCACGTACAGGTCGCTCATCGCCTCTGCATTTTCCCTCTCTTTGCCTTGGCTTGCTCTTTCTCTGCTTCTGCCCGGTACCGTTTCTTGCGCTCCTCCTGTATTTCGGGCCAAGACAATCAGAACTCGAACATAGCAGCAACTTAGGATGGAAACAATTCAAGGATATTCAGAAAGACATGCGGCAATGCAAAGAGCAAATTTGCCTCGCGGTTGCAGACATAGAATCACTAGTGTGCCAGGGTGGAAATGACGCTTGCTATTTTCGCAGTTCTGCACGTATCGTGACCTTTGATGTTGATGCGTCAAATAATCACAAATATTATCGATCGGTTGATGGTTTCGGCTCACCCTGTTGTACTTCGCCCTCCATGCTTCCTCCTCAGCCTGTCTCTTCTCGAGTTTTTGCCGTTGCCTTTCCTTCTGCAGTTTTCGCTTTTTATCTCTCTCGCTGCGGATAGCCCTGAGCTGGCGGATGGTGCCTCGCAACTGAAGCAACGTACAACACGCGTTTGCAAAGCTCTGCAGGCGACTGTAGTCGTTCCAAGTGCCCAATGGGTATCACAAATCAGTCAAGTAGAGCTTACAGAAGGTGCTTGTGATTAGCCAAATAGAACAAACAAACTGAAGACGCTAAGCCTGAGAGGACTGCAGGTCATGGCATGCACTCATCGTTGTCGCATAACCGAAAGTTGGCAGTATGAAACACGTGCAAGGCTAGCCCCTAAATTCCTGAAACTGACCATGGGCATATGTTCAGGGTGACCACGGTGGTGGAGCAGCTGTTGCCCACTGTATTCAGCCCATCTGCAATTACAGTGGCTATTCTCTCTCCAACGAGCTCAACAAATGGGTCATCCACCGCGAAGGTGCAACCCTGAGCCCGACACTGCATGGCTGGTACGTGAGCCATCATTTTGACATGCATTGTTCTATGCGACCGATGAGCATTTATGTCAATACTCTCAGGCACGACTGCCTACCTTCTTTTCCTCGTCAGTTTGGATGATGGGTGTCTTGTCCTTTTGGCCATTCAACGCCATCACTTTCACCCTGCTCTTGTATGGAAGGTTCTTCAGAATCGTCTTCGGAATTTTCATGGATGGGAAAATCCTTGGAGCCCTCTCGATGGGACGGTAGGCTGAGTCCTGGTCAGTGACCACCCCCACTCCCAGAAGCCGGCGCAGTTCCGCCACGGTCCTCATCCCTTTCCAAGCAGCACTGGAGGCACCCTCAGCGTCGCTGCGCCTGGCAGGGGTCACATAATGGCTGTCCCTGCAGAGCAGTGAAAACAATGATAAGAAACCATGAAGGCAGAAACTCTAGAAGACAAAAAAATGCAAAATCACTGCCCAAGGCATGAATCAGGACAAAGCCAGATCGATGACAGCCGCGGGCAGACACACTTGAAACTCCAACACCAAATCCAAATGATGGAACACGTTTGGTTCTCAATCAATGTCAGTAGCCACTGATGCAGAAAGGGGCCCTGGCAGGGGTGGGGAAACTGCGAGTCCAAGTACTCTTGGTGCCGAGCAAAAGTAACAGCTGCGGAACAGCACAACAGAGAAAAGCTGCCAGTAACGCCCCAAGGATGACAGCAACAGGGCTCTGCCAGTGGCCCACCTGTAGTAGCCCAGACCCAGGTCGCCGGTTTTAAAAACATAACCAATCCTCTCCCCTTCGAAATTGGGTGCAGCAGAGAAGTTGGGAGCAAGTTCCTCAGTTTCCTTGCCTGTGCCAGAATAAACAACCTCAGCAAACAAGTGGCACGCTCCAGTAATAGCATCTCCAAAATTTCACCAAAGGCAGGCAAACTGCATGTCATTCTTCACATCTTTTAGATTCGGTTCACACACAGTTGAGTGAGTACAGTGGTCGGCTTCCATCAATTTAGCACGACAGTTTTGGTGGCCATCCTTACACAAGTCCGCATGCTGGCTCCCTTTATTTCAAAAACACTAGCGCAGACCAAGGCCAGCCTTGGGCAATCCCTTAGTACACAGGCAGGGACACCCAGTGTGGGATGCACTGGTAAGACAAGCATTGCTGATGTCTGAAAAGCCTGTTCTCAGAAGGCAGGTGTCATTCTCATTCGTCACAATTGTTGACAAACGGCCAAACAATACCATTTGCAGGACATGTTGGGCAGAATCAATTAGAATTGTAGTCAAGAAGAGATGCATGAGGTTTATATCTGCATTGACGTCCACACACAGATTCAACTGGCACCATGCACACAGTGAGCAAAGAACTGAAAGGACAAGCAGCATTCCAGACCACAAGTCAAGTGACCTGCACCAGGCTCTGACAGCTGAATTACAGGTGGCAGCTAAAAAGGAGCACAAAAACCAATATGGAGAGAATCAAATTCATACAGTAAATGGGTGAGTTTTCCTTACATTAGTACAGAGCACAATTGCTGACTGTGCCATAAACAACAGTATGCCATCAACCCTGCGTAACAATTCACCCATGCCTTGTGGATCTCACGTACTTTCTATGATATCTCCAGCAGCCTCCTCATGCGCTGCACTGGCCCTCAAAATCTTCCTCCCCACCGTCTCCTGTCGATACATCATGTTGGTCACTGGGTTGCAGTACCTGGGCAGCTCGACAGTCACCCATGCGCGAAGGAAGATGATGTCACTGGCCAGCAGTTTGTCCTCAAACGTCGCTCGAAATGTCCCATCAGGTGCACCTTGTGAAGACCCTGGAGGACACCAACATGGCGAATATCTTCATGTCACTCACAACAGACGGCAACTGTGGTAACATGGACCAATCTGCAGCTGGCAATTGGACCATACACTCAGCCTTTGTGTTTCAAAGAGAACAAAACTTCCCACAACAGCTGTACCAGAGGACAGCTACATTGGCTACCTGTTAGCAAGATTAAAGGGTGCAACAGCAGGTATTGAACAGAGAACAAATTCACAATACTGTTAAAGAGATTCATGTGCAAGCCTTGTGAGCACATATTTCTCACCTTCTCGGACTGCCTTCTTGATGGTGCCTCTGATTCCACTGACTGTCTTGACAGAGGCTCCCTCAAATTTAGAAACTTCCAGAGAGGAGTTGAACATTCCAGATATAAAGGCAGTGTTCTTGTGCACTTTGAATGGATGGCCAACCAGCTTCAGCTTCTTCATGACCTGAAAGTCAGCCTTCAGCTCTGTGACAACGCCTGTGCCGCTGATTCTCCAGTTCTGCAAGTCGCTGGACAAGTTTTGAATTCCCAGAATGCCGGTGTTGGGAGGGCACAAAGGACCTGTGGGGAAACAGAGTCGTTCAATGCGGTAAATTGAACCAGTTCAGGCAGTGGACGGGAATGGCGCAACAGACAGGAATTTACAACATTGTGCTCCTTGAGAAATGGAGTTGCCCCTCCTGAAGCCACTGCACCTCTCAGTTTGAGAATTCTTGCAGTCAAAGTTGTGACTATGCTTGTTCTGAGCTGTTCCATGCCTTGCACTGTCTTGAAAGATTGGAAGAGACCTGCACCATTTCTGTTAAGAATAGGGTTGCCCATAACTCTTCAACTCGGTATCAACACTTGGAACCAAATTTGCACAAATCCACCATCCTCACCCCAAGCAACAGCCACACAGTGCATGTGCTCTGGAGTGTACTTCAACATCCTGAGCCTCCTGTTGTGGTCTTCAATGGCATAAGTGGGAAGGGACTGAAATCGTCGCCAGCCCACAGAGAACACCAGTGGGTCCCTCGTCTTCAGCACTCGTGGGGCCCATCTGTGCTTTTTGAACCTCAGTCGCATGAAGCCCAGCTTGTCCTCCCCAGGGCCCATACCACCAACAAGCAGCGGGCGCTCGCTGTCAAATTCCTCTACCATTTCAGCAGGAACGCCTGGTCACATTGCATGCTTACTCTCAAGACTTCGAACTCCATTCAGACCCCATAGATTCTTCAACACTAGCGAATGCTGTTCTCTCATGCAATCCGTAAAAGTTCTGAAGCTCAAATGGTTGAAACTCTCAAAGAGTGGATGCTCAAATGTTGGAAACTTGTGTTGTATGCTATCAAGGAGTGCAGCCAACCCAACAAACATACGAAACGAAGCGGCACGGAAAATTTTCATTGCATCAGCAGCTTTGTTGCCAAGCTCAAAATTGCAAAGAGCAGCCACAAACATATCTATTTATCTATATATTGCTGAAACTTGTCTTCACTCATCAGCCAGTAAATGGACAAGTACTGCCTTTGCAGCCATGAGCGCATGGTGGCACTTCAGAACCAACACCAAGGAATATACACGACCCTCCCCCATGTGCATGAAGCCTGCACAGTTTTGCAAGGACTGAAGCAGGAATCACTGTATTGCTGCGCAGTCTAGCCAACAGCACCATACACAGCCCAGCAACGAACAACCTGTTATATTCCCCTGAATAAATCATCGTTGCTCCTCATACCTGACAACCTCATCCTGATGTATGTCCCTGGCCTGAAGCCCTCCAAGGCCACCCTTTGCACAGGGTCCAGTGCATCGAGGGCAGATCGTGTGTGCGCCAGTTTCTCCATCATCTCTTGCTTCACAGTGTGATAGAAAGTGGGCTCCTTTTCACTACTATCACATTCCTGAGCACCACCCACTGGTGCATCGGCCACCCCTCCAGCTCCTTCCTCATCGTACTGCAGCAAACCAATCCTTGCTCAGTGCCATAGTCTGTTTCCACCCTCCAAGGGCGATCTGCCACACCTGGTACACAGCCCAGTGACTTGTGCGGCCTTGCAATGGCAGCGCAACAAATTAAATGCTCGTCAAAATTTTGATACAACAACTTCAGCACATGCACTCAACAAAAATGCTGCTGCTTGCATTCACGAAATGCAGCAATTGCAGCACAATCTCCCTGAGGGGGGGCTCCAAACTCCCACACTCTGACTTGCAACAACAGTAAGCTGTGGCTCATGGCTTATGACCCTCATCCACAAAATGTATCACTGTGCTCACAACTTTGTCATCAAATGATGCAATCACTGCCATTAGCTGCTATGCTGTCTCAGACCATATGATTGGTTAAGCAAGCAAAAGAACCTATCACAAGGAGGATGGCAAGCAAAGGATTGCATGCATACACAAGTCCACAACAGGATACGCAAACAACTTTACCAGGTTCCGCCAACTATTGGTCAGCAAATTCCCCAATCCATATGTTCCAATAGCCCAATATTGCAACACAAACCCTCCCTCAGTGCAAAAAATGATCTTAGGGCTGCCCACCTCCACATCAAAGACAGCTTTCTTGGCTGCCTTTTCTTTTTTTCGCTCCATTTCCACTTCATGTATAGCCCTTTGAGCCATTTCCGTGACAGCATCTTTAGGGCCACCAAACATCTCCCCAGTTTCGACATCTTCAAAGTCTCCGTACACATCGCCCCCATCGCTTGTACCATCATCGCTGCCATCTGAGGTGCCTGCTTGAAACAACGAAGATACTGTGAGCAAAGTGGTCAGCACACAGCCAAAGGGGACTGTCTTAGAGCACACATGGGAAAAGCATAGAGGGGAATTCATTTCCTGCTGAAAATAAATAGATGGAGTGTACCTGAAAAAACACACGATTGGTCACAGCAACTGATGTGCGTTTCTTTGTATCAGCAGTGCAGCAGCTGTCAATGCATATTGCAGCGCTCCAAACTATTCAGCACACTACAATGCAGCACAGATGGTGTGGTGGTATTTCCTCAGGAACGGGATACAAGGAGCCTGGGATGGAGGGTGCTGCACACAGCATTGCCCCTGGCTGCACCTGGCCGTGCTTCACTTCTGCGCCGCCCCTCTTCCCAGCTGCCTGTGACAAATCTGTTCCGCAACACTTCTGCACTACCTTCACCCTCCCATTTTTGCACGATGTCCAAAGGAAACACAACCCGACTTGAGTCAAGCCCATTCTTTGTCTCCTGGCCATCTTTCCAGCGACTTCTGGAGGACTCTGAACCCACGGGTCTGAACAGCTCATCCTCATCCCCGCTGGAGGCCTCATCATCGGTTTCTCCCCCCTCTGGTGCAGTGGCCTTTCGACCATACACAGCAGTCTGCAAGTCTGGTCCACTTCTGCCAAACAGCCTTGATGCCCTGGCAAGCATCCCAGACTTCCATTTTGTTGCTGCACCCAAACCTGCAATACACAACACATTGCGCACACAAATCTTTTGCAATACAATGCCCCCTTATCCAGCTTCAAAACAGACGATTGAATTCAAGGCCATTTTGTGGCTAGAACTGAAAGACAGGATTCTAGAGACCAGCATCAAACAGAATGGCACACCTTCACTGGCATCGGAACTTGACGTCTCATCATCTTCATTCGATTGGGTGCCACAATCCTGCTCAGCATCCCTTCCATTGTTGGCAAACACCACCTTTCTTCTCACACGTCCAGAGTCTTTCACTAGACAAAACTGCTGTGAACCAGAGGCCTCAGCAGCCCCATCTGCAGCCAAGTTGCACAATCAAGAGGATCAATCAAAACAAACTAATATCGATCAAAAGGGTGCGTCAAAAGATAAAGTCATTGGTGGCATCGGGATGCACATTTGTTCAAAACATAAGAAGTGCAGATTTCTAAACCCGGCCATGTTCCTTCTTGTTAACCAATCGAATCGCTGAGAGTTTGCCAGCCACTCTCCATGCGAGTCCTCCAAAAGGTGCTACAAATGCTGAGAATGCTTCATTTCCAGGTATGGACTTGTACTGGTTTCACCAATCTGGAAAGTAACACATTCTCCAGCCCAAGATTGCCTGGTCTCATTAGACAGCAGTTCCTGTTCCCAGCAGAAATCTCACTTTGCAAATCTCTTTTTCTGAATCAGTTCTTACCACATTATCACCACGTGACGCAGTGTGATTCATGCACCTACAATGCTGTGATGAGTACTTCTTGCAATCGCTTCGTCATAGGATGCTCATGAACGAGACACACAGCCTCAATGCATTGAAAAATGATGGCTGGCCAGCACAACAAGGACAGCACCACAACCCTGTTTTGTCCTTTAGCAACTGACTTCACACTGTCTACTTCTGACTGATGAATGGCACCATGGGATATGCGATATGAAAGTATAATGCAGTCGTTCATATTGTGGGACACATATTAGTGAAAGCGTTACTTCCTTCTGGGCAATAGCTCCTGTCTCTACACACCTAATCCTGAATCATCGTCGCTGCTGTCCGCTTCATCATCAGACAAGAATTCTTTGTCAGAGGGCTGCTTCCCATCGGTGCCATCATCCCCACTGCTGCTGGACACTTCAGATCCTTCTCCACCTTCTTCTGACAAATCGCTCTCGTCCTTTCCTTGTTCTATGTTTCGATTATCGCCATTCACAAAGTGGAGCTTCCCACTGGTCTCGATCTCTCCGCTCAAACCACTGCCACCCTTGAATACTTGCACCCGTGATTCGTTCAATTTCTCATCCACTGTCTTCTGCGTCCCTTGCAGCACACGAACCATGTCCTCGCCTACACGATCCTGTCCTTGGCTGCCTACCTCCCCTGCAATACTTCGATTCGACTTTGAGTATTGCACCTGAAACCCAATACACACATTTATCATCTTAGCAATGGCCATTTCAGACATCAACTCCCTTAGTGCACACATCTGCAGTTGTTGCAAAGAAATTTAGGTTGCAGCGCACATGTGTACAAATTGCAGCACAGTAATTTGTCTTTGAACAAGACAACCAGAGTAAATGTGCCAAAATCAACAAACTTGCAAAACAAAGGTCAGCTGTCGCCAAGAGCAGACTCACAGCAATATCAATAATATCAACATTCACTACTTTGTATCCAAATACAGTACATCGACTGTGGTATTTCGGGCATCCTCATGAGTGCCAACCTGTTGCATCGCAATTTTGACAACCGATGTGAAAAAAGGAATCACATGAGACCATCAACACCATCAAATGGCAGGCACCAGGTGTAGAACTGCATGCTCACCTTCCAATCGGGTATGTCAACGTAAACAGCGTCCTTGTCATACATAAATCCACCAATGTCATTCATGGGAGCATAGATGATACGCTCTTTCTCATTGAGACCCCGTTTCTTAATTGTATCCGGCAGAGGACAGGGATCAATCAATCCATCGAGTTCCTCCATTGAGAAATCACCCACTCCAGCCACATGAACACGTGCCTCCCTTCGGAGATTGTAGCCCCTCAAAAATCCATATAATAAGACATCACGGCCACACTTCGCATCCTCGTTCACATTTTCTTGTGGGGTCACATCCTGGTGCACGACCGCAGGATGATCAGATGATACCACAGTTGAATGGATATTGCCTGGCTCATGCTGAGCAGCCATAATTTTTGGTCCTACGCTCCATTGTCAACAGCTGGACAAAATTCTGCCTATCATAAATTGGTTGTTTCCAGGTCTGCATCCTGATGGGCATACAGGTAGCATGACTGTATTTTAAAACTCTTTTGTGCAAAAAACGGGGCATGGTACTTGTGACAAGCCCAGGAAGGGCAGTTACATTTGATGTGCGCATCGATAAACATAGAGAGAGGAGATGGTAATTCACGCACGAATAGAGAACCAACAAGACAGTGCGAAATTCTTGGCCAAGGGTTTCAATTCGCATCATATACATGGAAGTAGGAAACACAACAAGAAACCTTGTTTGGCAAACTTTCGTTTTGAGAAAGTGCACATGAACTTAGAAGAGCTAAATGTCTTGATCCTAGCAGCTCATTAAGGGCACACAACTGCGGGGCTGTGAATTCCATTCCTCATGAAGCCACAGCCAACATGCCCATTGTTTCCCATGGCGTAGCCCAACGTTAACTTGCCTCAAATCGGTCTACAACAACATACGGATGTGTTGTCCTCCATGACAAAGGTCGCAGCTTCATCACAGATATGAATCGTGCCAAGTTCCGAATCTCGTGATGCAGATATTTCCCATAACGTATTCCATTGAGATAGAACAGTTTGGCCCCTTCATAAATCTCTGCAGAAAACCGAGACTACAGACAGAGCCACAGAACACCATCAGTTGCAGAAGAATTGCCGATGGATACTGCCTGCCCCCCACAAGGGCATCGACATGAATTGCCCATTGGTGAATAATCTGTGCCACACCATGTGATAGTCACGCACATTTCTTCCAGAGTCCATCTTAAGAACAAGCTGGTATGTGGCAATGTGATGCAAGCCATGGCAGTGTTTGGCAGGCAGGATATATCCTCCCGCAACTGTCAAACAATTTGTCCACAAGTGTGCAAAAAGTTCAAGGATGACAAATATTTTGGGCGGGTCAGTGTTCCCTCAACAGCATAGGCCTGCAGGGCCAATTTTTTCAGCAGTTCCCATTCTTCATTTTTTCATGGCATTTTACCTTCAGCTGCTTTTTGGTCTTTCGAAGCTTCTTTGCATCATTCTGGAATGCGTCCAGGTGAGTGAGGACACCCATCACCTTGGGAAAACCATGAACCTTGAGACACACAAATGAACAGGCGTTCAGGAAACAGCCAGCTTGTAACTGTGCGCAACGAGCTGCGCAATAGGGGGAAAACCCAGGGGGGAATGAACACAAAATTCCTTCGAAATGTTGAAAGAAATTTTGTAATTTGCTTGCAAGGGAATGATAGGCAGCCAGCAAAGATTAGGAACATCCATGGAGACTTGCTATTATGACATTTACTTCAGAGGCTTCAAAAGCAGCCACACAAGCTCCAGTGTTGCATTTGAGGCTACTGAGTACTCTTCTCACAGTAGCCTTGCAAAAACAAACCACAAAGGAATCAGATGTCTGCATGTGAACAGATTCAAAAATGGTGTTACAAATGTGCGACAAACTAACAACACCTTGTAACAAGATGGGGATTTTATGAGATTCTTCCTAGTAAATTGGCAGCCTAAGGGCAAAGCAGCTGCGCTGCAGGCTGACAATGTGGTGATGGGCACATTTTGCTCCAGTTACTACACAGCAATATATCTTTTCTCATGCATAGGGAGACCATGACCTCAAGGCCACACCATCAGTGCATGTGATGTTGTTGCTCTGTGATGAGTCACCATTGCTGGGCGACAACGTACAACAAAATGTGTTGGTAATGTGTGATGAGCTTTTGACAGATCTATGAGGTGATCAAACCTGCCAAGCCTGTTGCACCCACCTGAAGAATGTTCAAAAATTCAAATGTTTCCATCTCAAAACCAAAGTTTCCATCGATGAGCAGCAGAACCAGGTCCGCAAACTTAGCAGCATCAATCATGCCGTTCAGGTCATGAGGGCATTCCACAAACGTGATCCGCCGCTTCTTGCTGGCCACCACCGTAATTGGGCCTCCCACAACGGGCGGCGTCTGCCGTGCGTAGTGCCGCACTAAGCATTTTATCAAGGTGCTCTTCCCGACCTGTCCAAATGACATTTGGGGAGTGATTATGAACAAGAGCACTGGATGGCCATATTCTGTACTTGCCAAGCTGGGCAACAAAGTTAGAGAATGGGCATTTGAACTTGACAAACCAGTTATGGAAAGAAGCAGAGCATTCTCTCGGTTCTCAGTTGGCGTTGTCAGGAAACAATGCCTCAAGTGCTTTGCAACAAATGACAGAACTCCACAACCACAGTGCTCCCTGAGCACAGCCCAACTTAAGATGGACTATCGATTGAGGCACCACAGAAAATAGGGTGCAGACAAACCATATTGACATAGTGGGAATTTCTTGAACAGATTGGTGGATGTCCCAGGCAATGCCATGGATACCGCACTGCTCACGGACAAACTCAAGGCAAGAAAGGCTGCATTTCTGCTGAAAACCAGCCACGCAGCAAACAGCAAGCACAGCAGCAGCATGGCAGGTGCCAGCTGGTTGCCATTGAATCCATGCATCCACAGGACCACTTGACGCAAAATGCACTGTCCGCGCGATGTGGTGAAGACAAGCATGGACACTGTTACACCAGTGCATTGAAAGAGTGATGCAGCAGGCACCAGCGCCCCAGCCGAAGAAATGATGCTGCCTGGTGTTTCTTTCTCTGTGTGTGAGCAGACAGATGGGATAGTGTGCTGGGAGGCAAGGAACACTATGCAAATCCATGCACAAAGGTTGGTTTGCAGTGGTCTCTGCATCGCCATTGGTTCAGTTGCAATGATGAACTTTTTAACTTGTCTAGCAGAGTCAAATTGGACTTCCAATAACTCAGCCACGAGGAATAGCACAATACACTCTTGCCGAATGACAACCTTAGGCGGGCCTTGCACAAGAACCACTTGAGGTGGAGGCTCGTCTGTTGATCTGTCGAGAAGGGGAGCTGCCAAAACAGATAATTTCAAAGGGTCAATGGACGTTCTGGGCTCCAAGGCATTGGTACCAGGACAAGACACCCGTTATCATCAATTGAGCGGCACATTGCGCAAGAACGCGGCTCCGATCAAAGGCAGCGACTAAAGGTTGCCCCCTTCTCGCAGCATTGCTTTGCAAGTGCACCGCGAGAAACCGAGACCATCGTGCGGCCGAACCAGCTACTCGCTTCCGACGCGCGGCGACCATTCGATCAACCAATGGTCGTCATCGCTGCGTCCCGCGCACACCCCCGCCCACCGTGAAGCTTCCTCTGCTCCTTCTCAGAGCTTCTGGACTGCTGTATCCGCGCCTTTCTGCTGGACTGGTGGATGAAGGCCTTCGGGTTGCGCCTGCCGTCCCCTCCCTTCCCCCCCTTGGCCGACTTCTTCCCTCCCTTCTTACCCCCCTTCTTCCTGTGCGGCTTGGCCGCCATCCCCCCCCCACCCCGAACACAAGAAGGCACACAGCTACCACTGCTAACCGGTCAGCCGCCACGCAGGCGTGCAGAAAACAGGCATGCGTCCTGAGACCGCAGTCGCGCCCTCCACGGCTTCTTCTCCTTCCCCTTTTTCCCAGGCGGCCAGTACATTAGTGCAGTACAGCGCGCCCGTATTCTTCCCTTCCGCGCCCCTGCGCAGTACATTAGAGGGCGGGCGCCGTCCAGGGCAGCGGCGCTCGCAAAAGATTGGCGCCCCGTGGAGGACGGATGCCGGCGGCGGCGTGGCTGGGGCGCAGGGCCTCCGCGTCGCTGCTGACGCGCGCGAGGGTCCCTGGGCCTTTCACCAACAGCCTGCTCGGCGTCCTCCCGGCGCCACACAGGCCCAGCCGCGCCGTGGCGATTGGTCCCTGGGGACCGGGGCCTCGGATTGTATGGTGCCGGTCGCAAGGAGGAAGTCCTGAGGTGACGCGAGGGCGTTTCCCGTAGTCCTGTCCGCAAAAAGGGCCTCACTAAGATGTTGGAAGACTCTCACGTTGGATTTGTGGGTTTTGTAGCTGGGGGCGGACCCATCCACGCAGGAAGAAGGAACACATCAAAAGTGGATGGCCACAGCGCTGGAGGAAGCGCGCAAGGTGCGGGACTGGCTGCGCCGTGGACGCACCTGCGATGTTGGCACCCGGCACACGCGGCGCATGCGCAAACTCTTCAACAGGCGGGCGCGGCCCTGCAATTGTGCTTGTATGGAAACGAGAACGACCGCTGGTGCATCGAAATCATGACGCCGAATTCTGGTGTTAAGCTTTCACACGGAAGCAATTCCCTTCCCTGTATGCTCCCATGTGGCTTTGAACGTCGCATCCCAAGTTTTGTGTTGTCAGCTGTCGCCATCAGTTTCCCATGGCAGTCGGACTTCAGCATGACGCCCAACCAGCTGGTGGCCTTCGTGGGGCCGACGGATAGAAATGCCGTCCTTCAAGCTCTGTGGGCCCCCCCAGTCGCATCCCATCGCCCCTTGCGTTTGTACTGCAGACTGTGACCACCATGTGCGAAAGTCAACTGCGGCAAGTGGACAACTGCGCAGGAACTGAATTCACATTTGCGCTGCAGTGTGTGAATCGCCACTGGCTTGTGCATTGCGACATGTATTGCAGCGATGGAAAAATACTGAGCACTGTCTCCCGTCAGGGTCTGGCAGAGGGTGAGGTGCCTGTTGGCGCTGTTCTCGTGGATGGCCAAGAGCTCGTCTGCTCCGCGCACAACCAAACTGAGGTTCTTTCAGATCCAACCGCTCATGCAGAGATGCTGTGCATCAGGGAAGGCGCACGGCGTCTAGGTATGAGGTGAGAACTAAAAACGGTGGCAGGCAGCAACCAATGGGCAACAGCGAGCTTAAGCAACTTTTGTGCAATTCTTCATCTGTAATTTGACACAGCCTGCTTCACTGGCAGGAGGGCCTTTGCTGGTCATGCCTGGTGCATTGCTGTTCAGAAGCAATGGCTTCTGTCTACCAACAATTGTGCATCTAGCCTGCTTTGTGTTTGCAAGTCTGCACTGGATCTGTTGAAATTCTGCCAGAGAACTTGGATCACATCCATGCAGGGGATTCTTTGCTGATTTGCATGTGGGACGAGTGATTGAAAGTTGTTGGAAATTGTAAACTGCTGGGCTTCAAAAGGGTCTGGTGGCTTTGCTCTGTGCTGTTTCCTGACATTATGGCAGCTGCAATATACCAAAGACTTGACGTATTGGCTGTGCTCCAGGATGGCGTTTGACAGAGTGCAGCCTCTATGTCACCCTGGAGCCTTGCCCAATGTGTGGGGGAGCTGTGCTTCAGGCAAGACTGAAGGAGGTCATTTATGGAGCAAGAAGCCCACTCCTTGGTATGCTTCTGAGTGGCATTTGAAGCAAGTGGTTACTGGGGAACGAATCCCTTGCCCACTGGCTTGCCAAATATGGCAACATGTTCTGTTGGATATTTCATTGGAGGCAGTTTTGGAAACTTCTACCTTGTGTTGGAGCACGAATGGACAAAATATTGCAATTTCGGCCCGGAGGTACTCAGCAACTTCGTGCAACATCAGTGTAAACGAGAACTGTCCAGAGAATACAGTGATTGCACTGATTGGCTGTGATGTTGCATTTTCAGTTCAGAAAGGAAACAAATGCATCATCTGGATTCTGGGACCTAAGACTCCAATTCTTGGGGACTGCACAGTGAATTTCTTTCATGCCAGTGTGGTATCCAGCATGTCCCTTTGTTGTGCATTCAATCTTGTGGAGAATAACCCTGGAACCTGCATGAGCACACCGATGAATGGCTGCCCCATTTCATATATGGTGAGATGGAGGCGCGAAGTACCGCTATCTATATTAACTTATCCAGAACGGGAGTGAAAAGGACTTGTTGTGCCGTTCCACCATTCAAGGTGCTGATGGCAGCTGGATAGCCATGCTTCCTTGTTCGCATGATGCCAAGGAGGCAGTGACCATGGAGGAGCAGTTGCAGGAGGCAGGGATGCAAAGGCGCCCTCATCCCTTTCATCCTGGTATGAGGGTAAGTTGACAGGCTGGCTGCTCGAGCTGTCCTGAAGCTGCAAACAACACATCAACAGCCGCAAGGCCATGGCGTTGGATATATCCACTGACTTGTGGTGGGTGCATGTTGTGCTCTTGATCGTAATAACTTGGAGTTTCATGTGTGCTCAGTGCCCCAGTCTTGATATTGGCGGCTGACCCCTGCCATCCAGCATCCTTGTAATGCATGGAGGGATGCGGCGAGTTTGGAGATTAGTGTGTAGGAAGTTCTGCATAACTTGTCAGTGGCTTTCTGTGGCCTAGAAAGCTGAGTAGCCATGGGTTGAGGCTGATGCGTATGCATATGTTGTGCACGTACAAGGTGGTTAGAGGAGTGATGGAAGACGACTGTGCAACCATAATGAAGGAGTTCTTCTCCAAACGCCGGCTTGAGAGTAGCGCCCAATATGGGCTGCCATCTCAGAAAATAGAGCCTCTTGCATCAAGCTAAAACACTGGTGCAGTTTGGCTGTGTGATGCCTGAAACCCAGAACATGGGTCACCAGTCATTGCCCATTAGTGGTAAGTGGTGAGATACATGTAAAAGACAACTTTGGACAGATGGTCTGTGACAGGCAAATGCCACGTCAGTGGTACGGCGCTGGTGCTTCTAGCACTGCGCTGCTGATGGCAATGGGGTTAAAGGCAACGTGGATATTCCTCAAATGCCTCTCTGGGCAGTCGACCAGGGTCATG